TTTTATTAAATCATCGAATTATGGAATTAATTATGATACAAAAGGAGAGAATTAGCGAAGCGTAACGATTTGATGTCATAAGATTAAACTTACGTGCATCTTGGTGTCACCCAACGTTAAATAAATACGGTAGATTGTCAAATTTTCCCGACGACGGACCGATTGTGCAAAAAAAAAAAAAAAAAAGGGGACTTTTTTTTTGTCCACATTGGTAAATACCTACGCACGTACATACTTGCACCAAACGCTTACTTCATTGACCGACGGATGGTACGTAATGTAAATCAGCCTCCTTGGTGGTGACATAAAATGAGCACTAAAATGAGCAAACACGCGTGTAACCATTTCACGAGGTGTTGTTTCCGGATCCGATAGTTTTCGCCAGGAGTCGGTCGAATAGAATTTTGATATAAATAAACATATATATATATATATATGTATGTATACATGTATTTTTATTTTTATTTATTACATGAGGCTTTGAATTCTTTGGGTGTGATGGTGGTCTATGAATGAAAGTTGGCGAATGGCTTGTTATTGTGAGAAAGAGTTGTATATGGATCATAGTGTTGATGAGAGTGTCGACGGTGTTGCGGTGGTTTCTCCCGTGAGGACGACCAATGTGAGACCATTAAATTACTCATGTTTTTTCTTCGTGAGTCGAGTGGGAAGGCCACGAAAAGGAAAGGAAAATGCATAAATGAATAAAATAAAATAAAATAAAAAGTAAACAAACCCAGTTCGCAAAGCCCAAGCCCGAATTAAACACCTCATCAACGAGATACATGATAAATATCACAATCGGATGATGCGAGTGGAAGGCTACACTGAGCATGAAATTATCGCCCAAATACTTGATTACATATGGTATAGATATGTATGTATCGTACCCTGGCGATTATGCTGTGATTCATCTGATGACCTTTTTTTTGTTTTTGCTATGAACGAAACAAAGGAAATGGAACTATCATTATAATTACGTATCCTCAGGTTTAAATTTTGCTTTGGGGACATTAAAGGCACCATGTATTTCACATGCCATCTTTTGAGCAACATGTTTTTATCTAAAAAGAATTACACATCAAAATGTATGAGATATATATACACCCTCAGTGCACCGCCAATTATTATTTTTATGTCGAATCTTGACTCCTCAAAGCCGCCGCAGACTTAAAACAGGTAACTGTGATTTCTTTGTATATCTTTGAACTTGAAACCTGGTTGTGCTCCCAATGGACTCTTCCGACGTTACTATCGCGCCCGATGCCTCCGAGCTTAACCTTCCGACCGACACACCACATCTTTGGCGTAGATCATGATTGAAGAAAAAAAATTTTGTGCCATATATATAAATTCTACTCCCGTCGATCCGCGAAATTAAATAAATCAATGTGACCGATATAAATAAAATTTCAGTTAGCGTGACATCCTTCTTTCAAGAGGCTCACTCTGGTTACGCTGGCCAGATTCTTGATTGTCGACTTGCTGATTTTCGCCTCTTTATTCTGTTGTTAATTATTTTAATTATTCACATACGCATGCCTCTGAAGGTGAAGTGGAAATAATTGTAGTAAAAAAAAAAAAAAAAAGAGGAAAAAAAAATCAAACACTCCAAATCAATTATGTTTGTTCTCGCACAGGAAATTGTTAATTCCGTTAGGAAAATGCGTCTATCTTCAAAATCATTCCTCACCCATATTTATCATTGCGTATCCCGACTTCTTTTATAATGAATAGGTTATATACAATACAGCAGCTTACGTACTTTTTTATTGACGACCTAATCAGATCAAGGGAATACGGTCACATTCTAGTCGTAGCCATAGTAATTCGTCATCTAAAAATTCTGTCCACTGGTTTTATCGAAAATTATATATAGAAGGCTAAACGCTTAAAAAAATTTTTTTTCTTGCCACGGCTTTATCAAAAAAAAAAAAAAAAAAAAAAAAAAAAAAGAAACTCTCGGCTGTTCGCACACTTGTAACATTTTCATTTGTATTACTTGTCTTTGAGCGAAACTTTTTTCCTTCTGTAATATTTCTTGTACATCTATTAGGTTTGTGTTCTTCATTTGCGTGTTCTTGAAATTCTATATTTTTCATCACTTTTTTTTTTTTTTTTTCAATCGTAATTTTTTTTTTGTCCTAACACTTTCGCACAGAGAATGAGCATTTCAACTTTTCCTATTCAATAGACAATCGGTCCTTATATATTTAGTAGTTATCAATCATCATAAAAATAAACTCCCACTTTTTTTGCCCCTCTCCCTTATCCAGGCACCTAATCCGACCAAGCCATAGTATTACTAATAAATACTTGACCAAGCGATATTTAATAATTTCCCTTCTCGCAAGCAAAATAAAAGAAAAAAAAAATAAAATAAAGAAAAGAAAAAAAAAAAAAACCCCCCCAAAACCAGTCTTTATTCACCGTAAAAGACACAATACCGCATATAAGAATATATTGTCACTTTATTAGGAAGTTCTCAGAATCCTCTCTCCTCATAGTCGTATCCACCCGTTGATTCAATTCAACCCCTTCCAAGACTGCCTCTCGCACAATGTCGTTGGCTGGTGTCAATAGTTTTAGTCCTTTCTCTCCCACGACTCAACATTACGCCACCTCGGCCGACTCTGATATTGAACAAGATTATGCAAGGACACCTTCTTATTCAAACGACGAATCTAACCTCGAAGACAACTTTAGCGAACGGGCTTTGGATGATAGTGAAGAAGAGAATGAACATTACCTCAATGCTGCCAGCTCTTTCACGACTGAGGACGAGGAAGACGACGATGAAATGGAATGCTCTTCGGATTCTGATTCGGACATAACCGAAGACGAACAAAACGGTTCAACAGTACTGAATCATCGATTTGAAAATGAAAATAACTTTAACCTTCATCGGAACGGTGATGTTGTGATCAATGGTAATATAATAAACGTGAGCAACCACAATAATACCAACAGCAGCAGTAACAACAATAATATATTGCCTCCTATTCAATTACATCCCGTAAATCAAATATCCACTTCAACATTAAATACTTCCACAACACAGTCACCAAACAGATCAATTGGTTCGAGTCATCCGTTTGGCGAGAGGCTTCCTGCATTAAGTTCAATGAGTACGCGAAATATACCTCCCCGTAATCCCCCTCCCTACAATCATGGTGGTGCATATGGTATTGCTACCTACAATGAAAGTTTTTCTACTTTGCAGCAACAGACAATGTATGGTCTTCCAAATGGCAGTCATCAACTTCCATCTTATTCCACCACCACCACCACCACCACCACCACCGCCGCCACCAATGCCGAATCGATCTCGCCACCTCCAGTTCCGCCCCCATCATCTACCTCGATCTCAGTAGCGTCCCAACAAAAACAAGGCCCTTTGAGATTTGGATTTCCTGATTCCCAAGAATCGCGAAGTCACGAAGTGGATGGGGAAGATGAGGACGATGGCTCTTCAACAAATTCCTACGATGCATCGTCTTCACGAAAGAGAGCTAGGTCATTCTCAAATGATTGGACGAACATGCACCCGCATCCAATACAATTCGGTTCTTTAGAACCTGTCAATCGAGTCATCACTAATAGACAGGTCGTGAACCACGGTTTAAGGGTTCCCTCAACACATTCTCCTTCCCTACCGACTCCAAGTCGTCCTTCAATAGGGAACGGAGTGCAAATTGATTATTCTCAAGAAATGACGGACGTCTCTCCGACACCATTGCCAAATCTCTATTATTCACGCACGAATAATTATACCACATATTCACAGTCATCTTCGGCTTCTGCATCCCCATCTGTACAAATGCATCC